CTCCTGCAGCTGGGGAACATTTCCTTAACAACCAACGACAGTGCATAACAATCCTCCCTCAGGCGCCACACAGCACGCGCTCCAGTCTATGCACCTTCTGGTCGGCGCTGTGCAGTGCGGGGCTGCCGGCTGCAGGCACACACTGGGTTAAGGTCGAGTCCGCGTGTCCTCGTATGTCACGTGACCTCTGCCCTCACTGCCCACCACCAGAGACTGTAGAGGTTCTGTACATCGTCACAACAACAGAGAAACAGACATTACTCTATTGTTAGAAGTGTGCGAGACAATACGGTTATGTCTACGTTGTTGACATGTATAATTTGAATGTTTTATTTAAATTGATCAGGAGAAATCTTTTCATTGATTGTATGTAAGTAAATGAATATTCACACATCGCCTAGGGACTACAAATGTCAAGGCAAGTCTTAAACCACTGTTTTTGTTTATATTGAAACAGCTAGGCTCTTGTGTAAGACGACATCTTACAGAATTGCCTAGCAGAACTCGAAACGATTTAGAATGATTATATACAAATGCTTCAAGATCAACAACACGAGCGGAGAGCAGGCGTCATGAGTTACACATAATCATCTGGTGTAACAACACAAACATTGGTCTGCGGCCACAAACCGGTGCGAAGTGGTCGCGCCTCGGTCGCGCCTCGGTCGTGACATAGATCTGCAGTCCGCAGTATGTACAGCGCGCGGTGGCCGGTGCGAGCGCCGGCGCCGGCAAATGTCAAGGTTCAAACGTTCACAAACCTGACTCGACCCCACGCTACATACAGTTTGCACACCATTATTTGGAAACTTTGACTCGCTGAACCTGACACACACACACATACACACTGGCTGGACAGACAACTCCAATCTGTGGACAACATACACACACACATTCCCACCGAGCGGCAGACTGTAGCATCGTGCCTAAACATCAGGATATACAAACAACCTTGTCCAATGTTTACAATCACTTCAGTCGACCTCTTTAACCCCGCAGTATTCCTACTGTGACCGCCAGACCCAGCGGTGACAGATGATGTGCATACCATACTAAGCTAGGGCTGGTAGCCTTACTGCCCTAGGTATCCTCGCTACTCTCGAGAAGGCCACAGAATTATGAAAGTAGCTTCCTGCGCACACTTCCTGTGGCGCTACTGGTTTCGCAATGTAACGCAGCCCGACGCGCGCCCTGTATTACACCTTTAAATAAATAACGTATCCAAGAAATGCATAATAACTAATAATAATAGTTCGCTAACGTGGCGGCGGCGGCGGCGGCCGGGTCAGCAGGCGCCAGGCGCCAGGCGCCGCTCAAATGTCACACGATGCTAATGAGAGCGCCCCTACCTACTTACATACATACATACATAGGAACATACTGCGTACACACACACACACCTACCTGACATACTGCACTGCCGGCAAGTACTGCCGCACTGCATCATCTCCACCACAACACGACGGTGAGCTTCTGTCATCAATGAAGTACCTTCTACTCAACATAAGTGTGTGAGTGTAAGTAATAACATCGGACGGGAACACGAGCCGGTTAGTTCGGGTCAGGCAGGTAATCACGGAAGCCGTGTTAACGCACTACATATGCGTAGAAAGTTATTTGGAGGCCCACGATTACTCTCCTCTACTAAGAAAAACAACTTTTACACCTCGTCTAGTGAAAGGCCCCCATAAGTGTACTCGTTAGTAATGGTGTTCTGTAGCCGAACTGTACATGAAGATCACGTCAACTCATCGGACAGAGAGTGATGTCGCAGCGAATGCTTCCTTAGTGAATTGGTGTGAGTCTGGTTCTCTGGTAGGCGCAGTGGCGCCAGGCTTCAGCCCGAGCTGTGCCAGCAGCGCTGTCTGCTGACACCCTGTCTCTGTTGCTCACACTCGGGACGTTCTACACGTATTACTTCTACAGTAAATGATTACTAATTTGTGCACTTTTCAACAAAATATTTTAATATACAATATCTCCTCATCTGAAGTGGATAGTAGTCGCCTCACAATCTGATACCAGCTGTGATACCAGGCAGCTTACTGCGCGCTGCATGCACACTCACACAGTACTCGTGCAGCAGCTCGTGCCCGCCACACTTCTGATATCTGGCGTCTGCACTATACGTAAAATCCTATTTATGCATTTCGTGATCGCTGGCTACAGAGATGAAAGTCATAGATAATTATAGAAAGATGTAGAACGCAGTGGTTCCATGGCCCGAGGGGCATGTCGGGTGAGGAGTACTCACCGAGGAGCAGCAGCGCGATGGCCGCCGCGGGGGTCATCGCGGCGACACTGTCGGGAACACGAGCACGAGTAGAGCGGTGCGCGGGATGCGGAGGTCGCGCGTGCGTGCCTCGCGACTGCCGTGTGGTTACTGGGCGCGCGCGCGCTCTGCCTCCACTTTTGTTCAACGCGCATTGAGCAAGCTGCCGATGCGCCGCACCGGCCGCGGCCGCTGCAGTCCTGCTAGCCTGAAACATAAACTATAAAACACCGCAAAAATTATCTAAATTGGTACTTATTTCATATTTGTAGGGAATGGAACTAAGGATAACTCAGATCAGGTCACCCTCGAAAGTAACAGTATGTGTAGGTTTTAAGGACTGACAATATCTCCTTACAACTACAGCCCAACAAAGTACGAACAATGTCGATGTCGAATTGTTAACGTTTGTTTCGCCTTATCTGAGTTTCTTATATCTAGCAGCCTAACGCGCTTATGGAAACTTTTATATTTTTCATATGAAAACGCATATACTTCAGAAATGTGTCACAAGAAATCTAATTTGGAAATAACCACAGGTTCCAAACATCCTCTTGGTCAATAGGAGCCGGGCAGAGCGGGAATAGCTAGTACAATAAGGGATTAAACATTATGACCTCCAAAAATATAATACTTAACACCAAGAATGTATTGAATGATCACCAAATGTAGTAAAGGATCAATGATAACCTGTGATGGCAGTCCGACATCGACATGGTAGGCGCATGCGGATAGCTCAGAATGGTATGTCAAGTAATTCGTTAGGTTTCTTCAAACCCTGCCGTCAGAAAGGGCGCCGTTGCCTTAATCTATTTAGGTTCCAATTTTGGTGGTCATTAACTATTTATGGGCCAACTTTGATTTATTTGGAAAATATTCGTTCTAATAGGTTAGCTAGATGTACAAATCTTAATTATGGTTTTAGATTAAAATGGGGTTTGAATTCTGATAATCATCTACTATTTTTGCCTGTTATAACTATGTTACTAAATCAGGCGATACGTTAAACACAAGCCGTACTACAATAATAATATACTTAAAACTAAATCTTCTTGCACGGTCAACGCAGTGACAACAACTGGCTGGTACGCGCTGCAAGCGCAACAAGTGGCGGGTTTTAGATCTACATTTTTGTCTGAGAGAGAAAGAGAAATGAGAATATCGGTGTGTGTGTGGTTCACAGCGTTTTTTACCAGACTTGACAATATTATTGTCCCGCTGTCAGAATTTAAACCAAAGTTATAATGTCCCGAATCGCGCGGGAGTAGCTGGTACTTAGAAATGAACTTTTTTTGTATTTGGGTTTTTCCATACACGTACGGCATGGTAAGTCTCATTTGCCTACTTTTTTTATTACGAGATCAAAATTTCTTTTATTAACTCCAAAAGGCTAGCAAGGCACTTGGCGCCGATTGGGTCGACTTTGGGTGATCCACAAATTGTTGTTTCGGGTCTGGGTGTAATTGCGTATGTGAACTTGTATGTTTGTAAACGCACTACAAGGTGTACTACATACATAAAAACCCTAAATATATTAATACACTATTTTATAAATATAAATTGACATACATACCTACTACCTATATAATAAAAATATATACAGCTAAACGAATACGAATACTACATAAATATTACAATACATTATAGAAAACTTTGTCAAAATAGTTTCCTCAATTGTTTTGAGTCTGCCAGTGCTTAAATTAATGCTCGCGGACTTTAAATTAAAAGAACTACGATTTGTTGCCATTCTGTTCTCCTAGGCAGCGCATTCCAGAGAAGAACAGCTTGAATGAAAAAAGTCAGTACCGTGAGAGATACATTGAAGGTGTCGATTTTGAGACGAACGAAGAAATTTTGAGTGGTTAGCGCAAGTATATTGGAAGTAAGAAGCAGGGTAGGTAGGCCTATTATCCTATCCCATGAAATAAGAAATATTTTGACGATATTACAATATTAATTTGAAATATCGCATGTCGCGTCACACACATTGCACTTTGGTAATTAGGTAGGTAGGTAGAAATGACAGACGCAGATGTAAAAAATGTGTGTAAGAAAATAGGTTTCTTCTATGTGTATAATACGTTACCACTGTCTTGCTCTCATTCTGGTATCTACGCCTAGCATCAAACTAATAGCAACACACAGAAACAATGAAATGTTCAACAACGCAGCAATGCAGCAGCCGTGCTCACAAACTTACCAACACTTCAAATATGTTTGATATTTCTTATGTTTTAAATGAATAAAGCAACCAATGGTATTAATATTTCAATTCAACAACCTACATTATCCCATTTCTAATTCATATTACATGAACATGGCCCAGGTAGTTCACATTATACATGTATAGCGCATCGTTTCCTACTTCTTCTCATTTACTTACTTCATTTTTGGATAATTAAACAAAATATTGTAAATAAAATTAAACTTGTCCAATGTTGATTGCACGTCACCAAGTCGAGTCGGAGTCAATGTAACGAGAACAAAAAGTGAAAGTTAGTCAAGAAACACTCCGATTGGTTATGGCTACTTAAGGCTACGCGCCACCAATAGAACGCTGTCCTTGAACAACGTTTTGGATATGTGAGAACAAAACTGAGGCAGTGATTTGTCAAGTTGACTTACCGGAAGTTACACTATGCGAATATACTTCGAATGTTATGACTTAAAGTTTTTAGTTGTGTGTAAAAGTTTATAATTTAGTTTAAATAAATGAAGTGAGTGTAAGATGATTACATTATGTTTCCTGCTTCTGATAGCAGTCACGAAAGGTAAAATCATATATCTGTATAGTGTTTATTTGGTGAATGTGAGAAAACTTTCTATCGACAATGCTGTATTGTTGCAGACTGTGTGTCGCAGGACGAGGACGGGCCGTATCGTGGCAAGTTTATCGGGAAACTCAACTCCTACCATCATCAGGTCGGTATGTGGCCCACAGCACCACGGGTCACGTTTGGTTTTCAATTACTTACTGTACACTTGCAAGTTTTTTGTTTGTATCAAAATATAGTACGAAAGAAAGAAGTATACAGGCTCGGCACAGCTGGCAATACCTCCATCTGTGTGACTGGTCCGTATTGTTGTAGGTGTCCGGTGAAGTGTATGCTGTTGATGACTTTACTATACTTCTGGTAAATTTCAACTACGATGGCACCGGAGACGACACATTCTTCTGGGCTGGAGATTCAGGCCGGCCTGGCCCACAAGGATTCATTGTTCCCAATGAGTATGGCAGGTCAGTGTGACAATATACACTTGCACGATGACACTGATCAAGATGAATGTGCTCATCATATAAACTCAGTTATGCTTGAACTAGTGTACCTACATAGGCTCATGCAGCCAAAGTGATAAATTCTGTATCAATCCAAATAACAAGTTGTTTTGGGCTTCCTGATGCTGCTAAGCAGTGGAATGCGGAACTTGTAATTATTTCATACTGTCTGTAGAAGCATTTATATTTTGTTATAATTAACTGTAATTTTATTTCCTCATAAATGTAGCCATGCAGTGTTGGCTGTTTAAGCAAACCTTCCAGTCTATGTTTTTAGAAAGTGCTAAACTAATAATTTTATGTATGTGTTGTCCGTTATGTTGTATGTGTGTACATAAATAAATAAATAAACTAATTAATTGTTAAAACTTGGTGCTCATTAGCAGTATATCAAGGTCTAAAACCAAGTTAAAAATAGTTAGTCACAAAAATATAATTTGAAGCTTCCACTCAAACAACAACATTGTGTAATTGCTATATTTTTAAAAAAATTAAAAAATATTATTTGTGTTCACTATTTGCACCTCCTTGATATAAGCCCCGGCACACACCCCGTAAGTTCGCACATCAATATTCTCATGTAATTATTAATACAAATTCCTTTTCTTATTTATATGCCATCTAAATACGAAGTTGACATTATTAAAAAAAACAATGGCAATAACTATAAATAAAATAGTGAGATAATACACTATCAATCACACAGGTAGATAGTGTGTTGCTGTACCTGTAAGCACTTACCCTCAGTAACAAGCTGGCCATCAATCATACCAGGGATTGGGTATGTGTTGCTAATGAGTACACATTAAAATTGGTTATTGATTTTGTAATTTCCATTAATTTCAATATTTTACTGTGCTGCATAACCACTCTTACATAATAATTAGTTGTGCATGGCCATTATGTTGTCGTATAGATGCCACAGTTGTCCATGTACTCATTTTTGCAGGACCAACATCCTGGAACGTTACTACAATGCAGAGGTGAGGCTGGCCGTGCCCGAGGGCAAGCGCATCTCTCGCATCAAGTGGCTCGCCGTGTACGACATCGGCAGCCAGAACACCTTCGGGGACGTGTACGTGCCCGACGACTTCGACGCCCCGGCCGAGCGCGCCATCGGCCCGCTCGCCGGCACGCCCGCCGTCTCCAGCAAGCCCGTGCGACTGCTCGACGCCTCCACCATACTGTAACCACCACATAGCTCCTCGTGGACTACCGACCGGTACATAGCAGTTTTGTACAACTAAAATAATCTCAATCCGCTCAGGATCCCGGAGCTGCGGTACGACGGCAGCGGCGAGGAGGTCTACTTCTGGGTCGGCGTGGGGCCGCAGCCCTCCTCTAAAGGCGAGAAGATACCTGACGAATATGGCTAGTAAGTAGACCGCAATGAATGCCGCGGACGCGGGCCGGGCGGGCGGGTGCAGTACAGTGTGTGGGTGCAGCCTGGAGCCGCTGCGGCGCTACGCGGGCGAGGACGTGCGCCTGGCGCTGGGCGCGCGCCGCGTGTGGGACGCGGCCTGGCTGGCGCTGTGGGACCGCGCCGCCGGCCGCGCGCTGGCCAGCGTGCTGCTGCCCGACGCGCCCAACGTGCCGCCCGCGCCGCGCCAGCCCGCCGCGCACGTCGCGCGCCTGCCGCACTGTCGCCAGCTGCACCGCGACCTGCAGGTGTCCTGGGAGGTCTTCGGCAACCAGCTCACGCTGGAGGTGGCGGCGCGCATGGACGAGGACGAGTACGCGGCCTTCGGCATCTCCGGCAGCGACAGCGCGTCGCGCATGCTGGGCGCCGACGTGGCCGTGCTGCAGTACGACGCGGCGCTGCAGCGCGGGCTGGCGACGGACTACAACGTGACGGCGGCGGCGCCCTGCGTGCAGGTGCTGGGCGCGTGGCGCGGCGTGTGCGCCGACGCCGTGCTGGGCGGGCTGGACTCCAACCAGGTGTTCAGCGCGCGCCGCGAGGACGGCCTGACCATCATCTCGTACCGCCGCACGCTGGCCGCGGCCGAGCCCATGGACCGCGACTGGGCGCTGGACCGCCCGGTGTACGTGGTGTGGGCGCTGGGCCGCCTGGACGCGGCCCGGGAGCCCGCCTTCCACCGCCTGTACCCGCGACACGACGTGTCTCTGCGGCTCACGCAGGACCCGCCCGACAACGACTGCGTGCCCTTCACCGTGTCAGTATCTATTTATACACCCACTCTGACAAATGTAAACTGATATTTATTTTGCGATTAGATAGAATAGGTGAAATTACATGAGTTTTGATGAACTTAGTTATACTGAACTTGGAAACCAAAGTGTATGTTTAAAGCTTGCCTCTGAAATGATCTTATTATTAAAGTGTTTGAGTGCAATGAGGTATCAAATAAATGATTTTATTTCTCTCTTTCTAAATGGTCAGCATGTATTGGTCGGTTGGCATTCAGCTTGATACTTGAAATGTTATATGAAGCAATGAGTATAAATCGATGGATGCAGTGGGTCCCGGTCGGCGCCGCCGCCGTGGGAGGTGGCGGAGCTGTTCGACCCGGCGCTGCGCGTGTTCACGTTCCGGCTGGGGCCCGCCGGCGGCGCGCGGGGCCTGGCCGGCCGGCCCCTGCGGCACTCGCCGCCCCTGGCCTGGTACGTCAACGGCCAGCTGGCCCCCGACTTGCAGCTGCGCCGCGGCCTGCAATATGTCTTCAAGGTACGTCTTCTTTCAATAAAAAAATGACCCCGTAAATCTTTTCATTGCACTTTGAATCCAGTTTGTACGAGCACGGCTGTCATTGCCCGCAGGTGTACGGCGGTAACGACCCGCACTCGGCCACGGAGTACCACCCGCTCATAGTGACGGCCGAGCCACTCGGCGGCCTCGAGCGACTCAGCGAGCTCGCGCAGCGCCAGGCGCGCGTCCTGGCCGGCGTCCACTACACGCGCCGCGGCCGACTGGCGCCCACCGCAGGTACGTAGCTCGCCCGCGCCCGGCGCCCAGAGCAGGGACCTAGCTCGCCCGCGCCCGGCGCCCAGTGCAGGGACCTAGCTCGCCCGCGCCCGGCGCCCAGTGCAGGGACCTAGCTCGCCCGCGCCCGGCGCCCAGTGCAGGGACCTAGCTCGCCCGCGCCCGGCGCCCAGTGCAGGGACCTAGCTCGCCCGCGCCCGGCGCCCAGTGCAGTATTCAATGTGTTGCAGCGGGCCCGCTGTGCATGGCGCGGCACGCGGCGGGCGCGGACCGGCGCCGCGACGACGACTACGCCACGTTCCGCGCCTTCAACCGCTCGCTGCAGTGGCAGTGCGGGCCCGGCGCGCCCGCCGAGCTGCTGGTGGCGCCCAACACCACGTGGCCCGACCGCGTCTACTACCAGTCCTTCACGCACGCCGGCATGGGCGGCCGCATCTACGTCGTGGACAAGCACCGCCGCAACATCGGCCGCGCCGGCGCACCCGCCGCGCGCGCGCCCGCCGCCGCGCTGCTCGCTCTGCTGGCGCTGCTGGCGCTGCTGCACTAGCGCGGAATCGACATCGTGTCGTGAATTTCGCAACATCTTTGTAAATAGCGAATTGATAGAGGAAAATAAAAGTCTTGGAATTTTTGATACGAATTTTTATCACTCTAAATTAAATGAATCACATTACATATTATATCGTAGTAACACAATCGCACACCAGCTCCGCTAGGCGCGGTGCAGGTCCAGGAAGTCCAGCAGCGTCTTGGGCAGCGCGTGCGGCGGCAGCGGGCGGCGCGCCCGCAGCAGCGCGCGCGCCGCCAGGCACGCCAGCGTCACGTGCTGCAGCACGCGCACGCGCGAGCCGCGGTTCAGCGCCACCAGCTCGGCCGGCGAGTCGCCGAACTTGTTGGGCTGGTCCAGGTGCGCGCCGCCCGCCAGCAGCACGGCCACCAGCTCCGTGCTGAAGTTGTAGGGGATGGCGGCCACGTGCAGCGCCGTGGAGCGCGCCTCGTTGCGCACGCGCACGTCGGCGCCACAGGCCAGGAGCAGGCGCACCACGCCGGCGTGCGGGAACACGGGCGCGGCGTCCAGCTCGTCCGCGAAGTACGTGGAGCGGATGACGTTGAGGCGCGACACGCACAGGTGCAGCAGCGTGTCGCCCGTGCTGGCCGAGCGCACGTCGGCCGCCAGCAGCGCGCGCACGCCGGCCGCCACGCCGCGCCGCTCGGCCGGGGTCGCGGCGCGCGCCTGCAGCAGGTACAGCACGTGCGTGACGCAGCGCAGCGCGCGGTCGAAGGTGTCGGCCTGCGCCTTGAACACGGGCCGCGCGCGCAGCAGGCGGCGGCAGGCCGGCAGCTCGTCGGCCAGCAGGCGGAACACGCGCAGCACGTCGCCCAGCGCCGGCAGCCCGCGCGCGCGCTCCAGGCGCCCGCCCGCCGCGTCCAGCATCAGCCGCGTCAGCGCGCACGCCGTGTGGCACGTGTCTGTCGGACGTCGCCCGCTATCAATGCGCGTCATTTTGTGCTTCACACGGTGCAAAAACGATACCAGCTACGACAGCCATAAATTCTTGAGAACATGCACCACACCATTTATTCATAAGTAACAATAAAATCATAACCATTTTTATTGGACACTGCATTTATCTTCATATTTTGTCATAATTATGTCATATAAGTACTTATTTTCCATATCAAAACAATAAATAAATATACATATTAAGACATTTTTAACATTATTTCTAATAAACCTATTTTTTTTTTTTTTTTTTTTTTTTTTTATGGAATTGGAGGCAAACGAGCAGACGGATCACCTGATGGTAAGCGATCAGCGCCGCCCATGGACACCCGCAACACCAGAAGAGTCACAGGTGCGTTGCCGGCCTTTTAAAAAGGAGTACGCTCTTTTCTTGAAGGTTTGAAGGTCGTATCGGTTCGGAAATACCGCCGACGACAGATCATTCCACAGTTTTGCTGTGCGAGGCAGGAAGCTACGTGAGAACCGCACAGTTGTGGCCTGCCAACCATCTATTTGATGGGGATGCATATGCTGTCGTGAGGGTCGATGGCGAAAAGATGCGGCAGGTATCAGGTCAAACAATTCCTCAGAGCACTCCCCGTGGTATAAGCGGTAGAAAATGCACAATGAAGCTACATCTCTACGCATTGCCAAAGTGTCGAGCCGGTTTGAAACACCCGGACATCCAACAATCCGAACGGCACGCCGCTGAATGCGGTCCAGAGGAAGAAGCTGGTACTGGGGTGCCCCCGCCCAAAGATGAGAACAGTATTCCATGTGGGGCCGCACCTGTGCCTTATATAGAAGCAGGCGGTGGGCCGGGGTGAAATACTGCCTCGATCTATTGAGCACACCAAGCTTCCTCGAGGCTAATTTGGCCTTATCCTCTAAATGACCGCAAAACTGGACGTCGCTCGAAATGTTGACACCAAGTATTCCAATACCGGCTGAGGCAGTTAGGGGGGTGCTTTGAAAATGAGGAGAGACGACCAACGGCAGTTTCTTAGCGGTAAACACGCAGACTTGTGTCTTAGTGGGGTTAAACTGGACCAAATTAAGTCCACCCCAATCAGAGATTCTCCCTAAAGAGGTCTCGATTTCAGACACGAGTCTGTTTCGGAAATAATATTTATAAAATATTATTGTATCCTTTCTACAAAATAATAAAAGATGATCGGCAAGGTTCCATCAGTCAGCAGAAAAATTCCAAGTCATATACTTTTTTAAATCATAATGACTTATGTGTTATCCACAAAGAAGTACACCCTGTGCCAGTCTTTTGATTCTATTTTTCCGTCTGTATTTTTCCTTACGTTATCCTGAATAGTGCTTCAGTATTATGGAATCATAAATTCTGGGCGAACTGCTGTGGTTTGGAAAAGAATACCGTTTTTGATTAATCAAGAATTTTCAATAAACTCTCTTTACTTTAAAGTGACAGTACTTACTGAAAAACAATTTTACTGTACTACTGGCAAATAACAATGACCAAATTTGTATGGAGCGTGGTGCCTTTTCATTTTTCACGGCAGTTAATTGGATGTGGAAAAGCTGACGCAGAATAAGATTATAAACAAAAAATATATGGAGTCTTATATCAAAAACTCGGTCCGAACCAAGTTAAATCAGTTCAAAGATGTGATGGTGACCGTACACAATGCATATTTTATTCATTTACTTGTCAGAAATATTTTGTAATACATATTTATAAACGATTTTAAAGAATAAAATAAAGATTATTGTTAACTTTTCACTTATTTTTTTTTATGTTATAAAGGCACGGAATCAGAACAGAGTGTATTTGAACAAATGAACCATGAACCGGCCATAACTCAGGTAAAAAAATATATCGCTTTATTGGCTTTTTTATAAGATAAGCCGGTAAAAGGGCAGACGTATCACCTGATGGTAAGCAATCGGCGTCGCCCATGGACACCCGAAACACCAGAGGCGTTACAAGTGCGTTACCGTCCTTTTGGGAACTAGGAGTTTGAGGATTGTGGGGGATTCAGGGATTGGGGAGACTGGGAAAGGAGTTATTGGGCCTCCGGTAACCTCACTCACACGACGAAACACAACACAAGCGTTGTTTCACGTCTGTTTTCTGTGAGGCAGTGGTATCACTCCGGTCGAGCCGGTCCATTCGTGCCGAAGCATGGCTCTCCGACACTTGAAGCTTGGCTAGCGTCTTCACTTTATATGTATACTGTTTATGGCCTATGATAGATTTTCATGATCAATTTCCTTTCAGTTGACAACCCGCAAAATACTTCACTGAGCCATATCATGAAATGGTATGTTCGTCAACTACGGCTCCAGTAGCGAATTGAGTAGCGGCAGTCGTCAAACCACGTAAAAAAATTGTTTTCTGTCGGTTTTTCCCTTTACAGTTAGCATAACATTTTGTAGAAGGATATCGTAAAAACTGATGGATTATACTTCGACTGATCACACATATAAATAAATTGTGCCCTCATCTGATGTATAGTCCATCACTTCACAACCAACTGATGATTCCCTTTCTTTAAAAGATTATGCTAACTATTAAGTAGATTAGTTTCCAACGAGGAGTAAACGGCAAAAAAAGAGTACTTTGTTAGATGTTGGGCGACAGCGACTACTCCACCCACCATTGGTACCGCAACTGACGGCCACGTACGATCATGACACACCTCCTTAAAGCATCCCACAAGTTATCGACTGAGAGAAAATAGATGACAAAAATTAGTGCCGGGCATATCATCCATATTGTGGTGCGATATGGTGTACCTGTGCCAGGCGTACAGTAGCGCGTAATGTAACAAATGTTGTGGATCACGCGTAGTGTACACGAGCCCATTGCACGACCACCAGGCTACGAAAATTGTAACGGACGGAATATCATGCACGGCATGTTACTTGTTTCAGAGTTCCGAGCCTCGTTGGCCAAGTGGTCGCAAGTGCGACTGCCGGGCAATGGCCCGGTATATGGCAAATTACAGAAGGGGTTCTGTAATTTTTAATTACTAACGATGGATAAGCGATCTGTTTTGTATTTTTAACCGTCGTTTATAGTTTTAGCACAATTTAATGGAGCATGTGGCCATAATTGCAGTGTACTTTTTGGTTTACAGATGACACGATTGGTACTACTTGATGGGAAAGTGCATTGCAGTAAACAGTTTACTGCTAATTTTTGTGCCGCTTTACGTGAATTGACACTCCATCTAGACATTATACATTCAAAGGAGCAATGCTCTGTCAGCTCTATAAGAGCTAACTACTGGGACGGCAGTCGCAGTACTCACCCGACGACAGCAGCGAGTCCTTCTCGATGCGCAGCTGCAGCGCCCAGCTCCACAGGTCGATGCAGCGCTGGTAGCGGAAGGCGTCGGCGTACGAGGCGCCGCGGTACATGAGGCGGAACACCGTGTCCTTGTGGTCGGGGCCCAGCACGCGCGCCACCACCAGCAGCGACTGCGTGCGCAGCGCGTCCATGTCCGTGGCCGCCGCCTCCAGCTCGGCCAGCGAGCGCCACTCGCGCGCGCCGCCCAGCGCCGGCGCCGGCGCGCGCACGGGCCGCTTGGGGATGTACGCGCCGCCGCCGTGCCGGATGGCCGTGGCGCGGCGCCAGGCGCCCAGCGCCGCCGTCACGTCGTTGAACTCGTCCAGCTGCGTGCTGCCCAGCAGCTCGTAGGCGTCCGCCATGCGCGCCGCCGAGTAGCGCACGCGCCCCGCCAGCAGGCTCACGATCTGCGCCGCGCCCTTCAGGCACGCCGTGCGCAGCGCGTCGTCGCCGGCGCGCGACGCCAGCAGCGGGTCGGCGCCGTGGTCCAGCAGCAGGCGCGCCGTCTCCAGGCGGTGCTCCTGGATGGCGTAGTGCAGCACGGTCTTGAGCTGCGTGTCGCGCGCGTTGACGTCGGCGCCGTGCTCCAGCAGGTAGGCGCAGAGGCGCACGGACTGCACGCTGTTGATGAGGCACGTGCCGCCGTTGTGGTTGGGCCGGTGGATGTCGGCGCCGCGCGACACCAGGAAGCGCACCACGTCCAGGTGCGTCATGAAGCAGGCCGAGCGCACGGGCGTGGAGCCGCTGTCGGAGCCCGCGTCCACGTCGGCGCCCGCGTCGGCCAGCACGCGCAGCACCTCCAGGCGCCCGGCCACGGCGGCGCACCACAGCGGCGTGACGCAGTGCACGGAGCGGTCGTCGGGCACCTCGTACACGCCGCGCTGCTCCAGGTCGGCGGCGCAGACGTGCACCAGGTACTCCACGATCTCCACGTTGCCGCGCCGGCACGCCACGAACAGCGGCGCGCAGCCGTCCAGCTTGCGGTCACACAGCGCGCGCCGCGCGCCCGGGCTCATCCTGGGAACGCACTCAGCTTTCACACCTCTATCTCAATTTCGTGAGTGAAAGTGTCTACAGTGACTGACAGACCAACTACTTACTGCATAAGAAGTTTTTTTTCTTAGCTAGATGTCCTTCAAATCGGATAGCGCATCGATTACAAAAACAAATATGTGTTTTTTCCCTCTAGAAATCGATTAGACCAATCTTATATGTGCACTTCTGGCCATGACAAATTGGATATGTGTTCAATTGGTTACGGGTTATGTGACAAAAAACGCACATGTCAGAAGTTGCAGCATCACATAGATAGTTTGGCAGATTGAATATCAACAGTTTTTGTTTAAAATTTTTACCCTTTTCTAAGATAAATCTGATACGTGCACCAAAATGGAAAATAAAAATTATTGGGTATGAACAGTACATGTTACTTGGTACACTTTCATCTTAGTTATTTTTAACATAATTTTTGCCATCATACTGCATTTTTAATTTATTGCTAAGTCCATCAACCTTTCAGTGCAAGTGTAAAAAATAGTTTAATGTCTCCTCCTGAAAACTTGACTAAATGCACATAACAGTTTTGGCAGGCGCACTGACGAAATGCAGTATGATGAGTACAAATTGGAACAAAAATAAAAAATTGGAAGTAGGTATGAATAAATGTTACATCGTTACTAACATCAGGACGGATGAAATAAACTAGAAGTATTTTTTTACTTTTAAGTAGCAATGGATTTTATGGTAATGGAATGGTTTCAGTGCCTCAAGACAGCTAGGAGTGATGTCAACTTATTTCGTTAACACCACACACAAGTTCGAAGTTGTGGTATATCCACAATGCAGCTTCTACTTCTGCTTCAAGTATGATGAAGTGCTTCAATGATAACAATATGGAAAATTTATTAATCACTCTACTCTTTAGTACGAAATATTTCTAAGTATGTAAGCTTTACTACTGCCGAAGAAGATGCTAGAAGGAAAGGGCGTGCAGTGTGAGCTAATCAAGCACAGGCGACGTACCGCTCGAGCGCCGTACGCATCTTGGCGGAGAGCCTGGCGCCGGGCGCGCTGTGGCGGCACTCCTGCATGAGCTCGTGGAACAGCGCATCGTGCTGCCGCGCCGCGTCCGCCTGCTTGCTGGTCGACGGCCCGCCGCCCTCCCACATCGCAGCCGTGCGCGCCAGCCGCGCCCGACTCGATGACACAGCTTTCGGCTATCTTCACTAGGTCGCGATGAAAATAACGAACAAAGACACGTTCGATTCAACTAAATTCAATATTATCGTTAATTATTGTACGGTTTGTTTTGTTTTCTGCGTCGTACTGTCCATGTTTCTTTGCTTTTTTCCATTTGATTTGACATTTTGACATGACATTTACACAAATTTTCGACTTTAGCATGACAATCCTTTTGACATTGACAGACTATTGGATAAATCTATGGCTCGTAGTGAGTGGTCAACGATCATTGTAACAGATTTCAAATAGTTGTCTATCGATAGAATATAAGTTGTATCTACCCTTTTTTCAACGTGCGCGGGTAAATTAATAAGAGTAATATTGCTTTTTATTTTCAACGTCTTTGTTTTTTAATCACAGTCCACTTCGTAAAAAGCAGGATTATCTCGCGATTGGCTGAACTGATTTTGATGTGGTCTTGAGAAGTGTTTGTTACACTTAAGAGAAGGTTATAGACGTCACACTGCACGACAGCAGACAAAAGCTGGCGTTAGAAGTCTCCGTCATCCGCCCTATTCACCAGACCTTGCGCCTACAGACTACTATTTTTTTCAGGTCAATTTTTATATCAACAGGTAGTAAATTATCTCATCGGAATTTACTTCAAGATTCAAGAGTAAGCCCCCAGTTATCAGACAGTAAAGGTCCTTTTTCTCAACGTCCTTGTTATCAGTCATGTCAGTGGTAGGTCAACTGTCAGAGCATTAGTATCAGATATGTTTTTATGTAAATTTCGTAGAATTCGGGCTATTTTAGACGTTATTTTCATCATCAACAGCCTATAAATGCCCACTGCTGAGCAAAGCCTCGTCTCACACGGAGAAGGTTAGAGCATTAATCACCACGCTTTCTCAATGCGGGTAGGCGATTTCAAACTTATAATTAGAAATTATAAGTTCAGGTTTCCTCACGATGTTTTCCTTCACCGTTTGTTAGTGGTGTCTAAATAATCTTAGAAAGTACATATAACTCGGAAAAAGTCACATTGGTACTTGCCGTTGGTAGATTTCGAACCCGCACCCTCATGCATGAGAAGTGGGCGTCTTAAACCTCCGGGCCACCACGACCTCCAACTTTTTATTACGTTATTTTCATAATAATTATAATTTCACTCTTTATTAATTATCGTAAAAAGTATAACTAGTAAAATGGACGAAGAGGTTTATGCATGCTTAGGAACGACCTTGATTAGAGACTGACTGACTGACACAATAATTTCTTAAAAACTGATTTAAAATATACGATTTATTAGAAATCGGTAAAAACATTTTAGAATCATATTAACTTACGACTTCACTGGCTAATATAGTGGATATTTATTTTTACAAACTATAGTTTAGCAATAGTTTACTATATATTTTATTTATAATTATAACGCATTATAATAAAATATTGTATGTGTAATAAAGTAGTCCATACCAAATTATTACCAAGATGGGCCCTTTTTATTTTGAGCAAGATGTACCGAAATTATGAATATAAATAAATAAAAATAAATTGATTCATTTTGTGCCTCTAATCGATTCGCTCTTGCATGTAGATTTTATCGGTTGAATAATTTTATCGATATTTTTAACACGACATTATCACTGCACTGCCATATCTCTAGTGAAACTTCAAATAAATAGACAAATATCAAAATAGTACATAGCATCTGTAATTTATTATTGATTGACCGAATACTTATTATACTCTTTGCAATTATACGAGTGACGCCGACGCAGTGACCACTGTGTCTAGTGTATTATTGCATAAATAAATTCAATAAAGTGTATCTTTTGTGTAACATTGAAAAAGAAGTTGTGTTTAAAATATTCTGCTGGTGGACGTATCTCTTGTTTGTATTTCTATTATTTTTCAGTGTGGTTAAATAGTAAAAAGTAAAAATGTCATTGTACTACGAAGAAGAAGAAGACTGGGAACTACCCGTGGTGTTGGGCGAGTCTTCCGTTGATGACTCGGTACAGTAAAACAAATTTTATACTACACCTTTGTAAGAAATAGCCTCGAGTAGGTATGCTTCTCAGATATGGAACCCACATTACAATAAATATATCGATTGAATCGAAAACATCCAGAAACGGTTTGAAAACTTTTTATATTATCGCCTGAAAATTGATGATCACATTGCAAATTATTTGAATCTTTGCAAGAGATTTCACTTGCAACCACTTGTAAACAGGCGCAGATCGGCGGACTTTTCATTTATTTTATTTTATTTATAATTTTTTTTCTCTTTTCTATCCTTCAACACAGCAATCTGTTTATAAAACATTTAGCCACTTTCTTGGCTAACTCATTGTCTGCGTGTGGCATATTGCATTGAAAAGAAGTATCCAATGAATTTCTCTTCCTTCTGGCTGTTTAATCGGTCTATGAGGTACACTGCTCCTCTTCAGTCTTGCAAATTGGATACTTCGAGATCCTGATAATATATCGATATAGCAAGGGCATTGACATGCTTAGATAACTTTTTCTGATAGTTTGAACCTCTCTGAGAACTTTCGAGACAGACATTGTGATTTTATGGTATTTTATTTTACAAATACCTCACGGCACACTTCATTTATAGCATGTTCATGTATTAACATAAATTATTATGTTTTCGGCTTACTCATGTAATAATTTGACGAGGAACTCGACTAGTTTCAAGTTCAAATTCAAATTCAAATTACTTTATTTGTAGAACACAGGTTACAGAAGATGTTACAAACTTTACATTGACCAGCTATGTCTTGCCACCAACGGCGTACAAATATATTAAATTAATTTACCATTTATTAATTATACAAAGATTTCAATAGTCAGACTTGTCATTAAATTAAATCAAAATATAGGGTCATGCACTGTCAATATTATTATATTACATTTATCATTATTACTTTATTACAATCATTATCATATGTCAATAAATTAAATAAATAATATTTTCATTATCATAACAATCCAATTATCTATTATCATTACATTTGTCCCAGTAGATACACACACAGCATAATCAATTCACCTCAAATCCTATCTTCCAAGTATTCAGTGATCGAGTAGTATGTCTTGTCGCTAAGAAATTGCCTTAGTTTTTTTTTAAATATATGCAAATCGTTTACCTGTCTAATAGGTTTAGGAATTTTATTATAAATTCTTGGAGCCATACCTAGAAGACTTTTACTACACAAAGCTGTTTTATGTGGATAGGCGCATATTTCGTGGGCACGACGTTTAGACTGTAATACCTCAAACAAATTTAAGTTTGTTTTCACGAATAAAGCTACTTCGTAAATGTACATGCATGGGAAAGTTAGTATTTTGTTTTTGTTAAAGTAGGGTTTACAGCTTTCTGTCTGTTTCAATTTATACATGGCTCGGATACACTTTTTTTGAGCTTTAAATACAATAGGTTTGTAAGTAGAATTACCCCAATATATAACTCCAAAACGCAGAACAGACGCTACATTTGCATTATATGCTACCAATACAACTGTTTCACTCACTTTTTTTGACAAGTTGTGGAGTGCATAGGCATATTTGTTAATTCGTTTTGATACCACGTCTATATGATATTTCCATGTCAATTGACTATCCAAATTTAAGCCCAAAAACTTAGCAGTATTTGTTTCGTATATTCGTTGGCTCGCATATATTATATCCAAGTTCATGTCACCGTTAGTTTTCTGAAAGAATCTCATTAATTTTGTTTTTTCCAAGTTAATTTTCAATCTATTCATTCTTAACCAGTCTATAACTTTGCTAATCGAATTGTTTATTTCATCTTGATAGGTGTTTACATTTTTACATGGTATTATTAGTGTAATGTCATCTGCGAATAAAATTGATTGATGTTCTGTGCATTTGGGCAGGTCATTAATATAAACAAGGAATAACAGAGGCCCAAGTACGCTTCCTTGGGGCACGCCACGGATTGTTTGTCTAACTGATGACCTAAACGTTTGCTCAATTTTTGAACTAGTAGATATTTTATTTATAACAGTAACTTGTGTCCGATTGCCCAAATACGTTTTTATTAGGTTTAAAATATTACCTCTAATACCATGTCTTTCTAGTTTTCCTAATAATATGTGATGGTCTACATAGTCAAATGCTTTTGACATGTCCATCAAAACCAATGATATCGGTGTTCTACGATCAATATTGTTAATAAGTTTCGTTATCACCTGAAATATTGCCTTATTTATCGACTTATTTTTTCGAAATCCGTATTGTTCTTGACAAAAAATGTCATTACTTTCAAAGAACGAGTAGATGGAGTTAAAAATCACTTTTTCTATGATTTTAGACATTACAGGAATTAAAGCAACGGGTCGATAATTCCCAGGTACCGTTTTATCGTCTTTCTTATGTAAAGGCCTAATCAGAGACACTTTCAATCTACATGGAAACTGGGGGCTTACTCTTGAATCCAATTCCGATCGATCGACATTGGTATTGTGAAATTTCGTACTCTTGAGTTGCAATACTAGAGCCCATTGCATCCGTATTACGTAGATATTGAATGAACTAAATGGTATTGAGTTTGTCTTTATATTCCGTACTCTGAATGCTATTGTAACAGCTAAGATTGTGGTTGTATAGTGTTGACATTTAATAATTATTGAGATCATATTGGATTGAAATTGCATTGACATTGAGATTGGTTTCAAGAGTAAGCGCCCTGACCATTTTCAATACATAGATTTATAATGAAACTTAATACCGGTGCAATTAAGTGTGATACTATTTTTATTGTTTTGGTTGTTATTTCGTCATACCCGGCGCTGTTTGTGTTTTTTAATGATTTTATTATGTTAAGTACTTGTAGCGGATCTGTTGGTTTCATAAATAAGGATTTTTTATAATTGGTGATATATGTGAGAGGATTTAATTTATTGTTACCAGTATTCTCTGATTTAATTGAGTCTATAAAGTTTAGGAGCTAGGTAGGAGAGCCTAGTGTCCTAGAGGAGGTTTCTTCTTATCTTCTAGTAGTAGTGAAACTCCGATGAGAGGTGTTGACAAGAATGATTTTATTTCGCCAAACTACGCTACTTATATTTCTATTTACATATTTACAACTAGACAAGATCAGATATAGTTAGGTAATAGTTTCGACCAATAGCGGCGCGCCGGCGTGCGCGGGGCGCGCGGGGTGCGGGGCGCCGCTTTGCACACGGCACTATCGGTTCCTTCCGTATAAGTATGACCGCGCGGCGCGAGCGCGCGCATTTCTCCGAGAGCCGGCGTTGAGTGAAGACTGAAGACTACCTACAGATGAATGAAGATGAATGCAAGTACTCCGGCCTCCGGCTCCGGCTCCGCTTGCGCTGCTTGGCTGCTTGCTTTACCAAACCGCTTCTTTCGAAGCGATCGCTCGCGGCACGGTGTGATAACGCTGTTGCCGCAGTGATGATTATCGTTTCTATGCAGGAAAGTCGAAAACTGTCTTTTTCAAGACAATTGGTTTCTGGTTTCTTAAAACGGAGTCAAAACGTAAACTGTCTTTTTCAAGACAATTGGTTTCTTGTTTCTTTAAACGAAGTGAGTCTATAACTTTGGTAAAGGTATTGTGGAAGGTATCTGGTATATGGAAAGGTATTCGGTGGTACTGGTAACTGGTAGGTATGTAGTCGTGCGGTGCGGCTACAGTACTCCCCCCCGAGCGAAGCGTACTGGGGTCTTGACGATTCTTCCTGTTCGCGTTTTTCGTACATCGCTGATGCTCGACGGAGGTTGACTGGGTTGATCCTGGATAGCCTCTGGTAGCGTTGCACAGTTGTCCGAGTTATCGTAATTAATGACGTAGGCAGGCTTCAGACGCTCGATAGACACGTTGGTAGTACCTCTAGGTGTTTGTAATGTGAAGTACTTGTCGCTTCTGCTGGAGACTAGGTACGGACCCTTGTACGGACGTTGCAGCGGTTTGCGAACTGCGTCGTCACGTACAAATACGTGGCTGCATGTTTGCAGGTCTTTGTGCACGAAGATACTCAGTCGGTTAGTGTGCGACTGATAAGCGGGCGTTAAGCTTGTGATAACACGATGCAAGTCAGCCACATAGTCGTTATCCATCTTCGTGTAGGTAGGCGATGGCGATATGAAATCGCCGGGTAGCCGTAGTTCTTGTCCGTAGGTAAGTTGAGCGGCACTAGTGTTAGTGTCGGTGCGCGTAGCGGCTCGTAGTCCCAGTAGCACGGTAGGTAACTCGATCAACCATTTGTTGTTGTCGGCGAGTCGAGTCATGAGCGCGGCTTTCAATGTACGATGCCAGCGTTCTACGATCCCGTTACTCTGCGGGTGGTAGGCAGTAGTACGAGTTCTTTCTACTCCCAGTAGCTGAGCGAGATTTTTGAATAAGCTGCTCTCGAACTGTCGTCCTTGATCAGTCGTGATTTTGATAGGACAACCAAAGCGTGATATCCATGCTTCATACAGCTTTCTTGCGACGACTTCGGCTGATATCTCTCGCAGAGGGACGGCTTCTGCCCAGCGGGTGCAGCGGTCGATCATAGTGAGTAGGTATCGATGTCCGCTCGAAGATGTAGGCAGAGGTCCGACGATGTCAATGTGTACGTGTTCGAAACGCTCGCTCGGTGGGAATGATGTGACGTCACTGTGCGTATGTCGATGTACCTTTGATTGTTGACACTGAATGCATGACTTTGCCCACTCGCCAATGTCGGTGTTCATAGACGGCCAGAAGTATCGTTGCTGCATTAGTTTGCGTGTAGTTCGAATACCAGGATGACTTGTATTGTGCACGGCGTTGAATGCGATGCGACGAAAGTCAACTGGTAGGTATGGACGAATGTGAGGCGTCGATACTTCGCAGTAAATCAGCTTGTTTGAAGTAGGTATGACGATTTTCTTGAGTTGAATATTTGTTTGTTTACATAGGTTGAGAATATTGCTGTCCTTTTCTTGTGCTTGAGATAGTTGTTCGTAGTCTATCGGCGATGGTAAGTCGATCGTT